TGGTTATGGCCTTGATAAGGTTGCACCATATTTAGTAATGGGAGGCCCTCCACCAATTGGGGCTCGAAAGGCAAATCTTGATTCTCTTACAGAGAATATTATCACTGAATTTGGCTTTCAAGAAGTTGGCCACCTGAGGTCCATTTTTCCATTTTCATTTTTTTTATTTGCTTCAAAACGACACAATAAATACCCAGTAGGGTTTGACTTAAGGTCCTAAAATCGAGCATATATTAGGAAGTGGACCTAAAACCACCTCACATCGATCATTTACGCTCTATTTTTAAATTTGTAGTCTATTTTTAATTATATTTGTGCCCAAAACTACCATATTATATATTTTCAGAGTCAATTTTTAACGAGTAACTACTGAACTCAGTTGACAAGAAATTATAGTTTCTCGTTAAGGTCAATTCTGTAGAGAGATGCTCAAATTGAATCATTAATGAATCTTTGGGTTGCGGTGGTAAACTAGATAACCCTATTCTTTTCTTTTCTTTTTTTGATGATAAATAACTTTCAAAGAATTGTTTGATTTTTATTTTTGTTTTGCAGGGCCATTAAATCAACGGTAGGTGGATTCCCAAGGCCTCTAATGGATCTTAGTCCCAAAAACTTTGCAAAATTGTTCAATGAAGCATTTGGATATGAACTTATGCCCCCTTTTAACCCTTATCGTGACAGCCTCAGCTTCATGATGGCTTCTTATGTATTACCATATGTGGGACTACTTGGCTATGTGGGCACAAATCCCAACATCAAGGGCTGCGTTACAAAGCGAGTTAGCAACTTCTTTGCTATATAACTTATATATTTTATCACGCATCTTTTTCTAATACGTGGACACAAATTCAAACGACAACGATCGCATTACAAAGTGAATAAGTCACGTCTTCATAGCATAACTAATAAATTTTATTACATAACTTTTTTTTCTAATAATTGGGTATGCAAATCCCAACATCAATGTTATATTACAACATGAGCAAGTTAAAACACACAAATTTAATGATGTCTTTTTATCTTAATTTTGTTAACTATCGTGTTATTCGACTGACCAAGTACATTTCTATCACATATTTAGTGAAGAAAAACTCTATAGCATTAGAAGTTTTATTATTGCAATTTTCGTTTTTGTTCGGTTTTGTGTATCAAAAAATTACTTATTTTACGTTAAAGTGAAAATTACTACCAAAAATAATTTACTTATCACATCTTAGACTAATAATAAGTACTTTATTGTGAAAATTACTTGTAAGTGCACCTAATTGACAGCAATTGTTATTTGCTTTCAGCTTTTGGCAGGACTATTGGGGGTAGAATCTGGACAGGATGCATATATTAGAGGATATCTATATGAGCGATCCAAGGAGGTTGTGCTCCCATACAATCACACAGTAGCTGAGTTCACAATCCGAGTGTCCGAGATGCGAAATCGATTGGCAATGTGTGGAATCAAAGACGAAGGCGTTATCGTCCCACCACAACTCGGGGCGGAGAATCGGGCTAAAAGCAAGTTATTATCTGCCGATTATAACTCCCTCTCCTACGGAAGGACTCCATTGGAAATTCTCAGAATTGTGTATGGTACCGGTGATGAGCACGTTCCTGGTGGATTCTTTCCCAAGGGAGCCAGTGGAAAAATAGCCCGTGAACTCCTCAAAAATGTTATGGCTTAGAGTTTGTTAATAAGTGCCCTATTCTTTAGGGTGTTGTTTTACTGTTCTGATTTCTTCTTTGTTCTGTTACCACGTTCTTAGTTGATAACGTGGGTTGCACTTGTTTCTTCTCTTTCATCTTGTAAGGCTATTATATAGCCAAAGTTGTTTCTCAAATAAGTTAAGTCATTCCCAATTTGTTCTGTGTTCTTGATTCTTTTACAGTGATCACTTAATTTATAACAAATTGGTATCAGAGCCCCCACTGGGCCTCATATAGGAGGAAAGCCACAGCTTTGAGTGACTTGCATACAAAGAGAAAGAGAGATGGCGAGTGATGAGAAAAGAAACTTCATTCAACCTGCAATTCCACACTTCAATGGTCACTATGATCATTGGAGCATGCTGATGGAGAATTTTCTCCGATCTATAGAGTACTGGGGACTTGTGGAGACCGAAATTGCAGAGCCAGAAACTGGAATGGTTTTGAATGATGTACAGAAAAGGAGACTCGATGAGATGAAGCTCAAAGATCTCAAAGTGAAAAATTACTTGTTTCAAGCCATCGACAGAACAATTCTTGAAACAATTCTGAAGAAAGATACGTCTAAGTAAATCTAGGATTTAATGAAAAAGAAATACGAAGGAAACGCTCGTGTGAAAAGATTGATCTTTTAAGCTTTGAGAAGGGACTTCGAAACCCTGGAGATGAAATTAGGTGGATCTGTCATTGATTACTTTTCTAGAGTCATGTCAGTGGCTAACAAAATGCGAGTGTATGGAGAGGATTTGAAGGATGTAGCAGTAGTAGAGAAGATACTTAGGTCCTTCACTGACAGATTTAACTACATAGTCTGCTCAATCGAGGAATCTAAGGACATCGATGAACTCTCCATCGATGAACTCCAGAGTTCATTGATTGTACACGAACAAAAGTTCCACAGGCAGGCTAGCGAAGAGCAGGCACTCAAAGTGACACATGGAGAGAGATATGGTGGAAGTGGAAGAGAACGTGGAAGAACTGCTTTTAGAGGAGGAAGAGGCAAAGGAAGGGGTCGTCAACCTTACAACAATGACTTGGTTGAGTGCTATAACTGTCACCAGCTTGGACACTATCAATATGAGTGTCCAACTCGGAATAAGCAAGCCAATTATTCGGAGTTGGATGAGATTGAAGAAAGACTTCTCATGTCATACGTAGAGATGCATGGAGCAAACCGAAGCGATGCATGGTTTCCTGACTCAGGTTGTAGTAACCACATGTGCGGTGATCGAGCCTTGTTCTGTGAGCTTAATGAGGAGTTTAAGCAGATAGTGCGGCTGGGAAACAATACGAAGATGAGTGTTGTTCGGAAGGGTAATGTGAGATTGTCTCTCGATGGTCTCAATCACATGGTAACGGGAGTATTTTATATGCCGGAGTTGAAGAATAATCTTCTCAGTATAGGCCAGCTACAAGAAAGAGGGCTAGCCATTCTAATTCAGTCAGGCACATGCAGAATTTATCATCCAACAAGAGGCTTGATCATCCAAACCGACATGACTGCAAATAGGATGTTCGTTCTGCTAACCAGATTTCAGCCTGCTAAGACGCAACCAAACAAAGAAATTTGTCTACAAGCAACAACACAAGACCTAGCTCACCTCTGGCACTGTCGATTCAGTCACCTCAGTTATGGAGGCCTCAAAACCTTGCAACTCAAAGAAATGGTGAAAGGTTTGCCAAAGTCCCCTGAATCTAGCACTGTATGCACTGGCTGCTTGAAAGGCAAACAACACCGAGATCCTATTCCCAAAAGAAGCACATGGAGAGCATTTCAGAAGTTGGAACTTGTCCATGCTGATATATGTGGACCGATTACTCCCATCTCCAATAGTCATAAAAGGTATTTGATATGCTTCATAGATGATTTTACTAGAAAAGCATGGGTGAGTTTCCTTGTTGAAAAATCAGATGCATTTGATTTCTTCAAGTCTTTTAAGAATTGTGTGGAGAAAGAGACTGGCTTGGCTATTAAGTGTTTGAGAACAGACCGTGGTGGGGAGTTCACTTCAGGTGAATTTAATGAGTATTGCAATAAGAGTGGGATAAAGAGGCAATTAACTACTGCCTATACACCGCAGCAAAACGGTGTCGCAGAGAGGAAAAACAGAACAGTGATGAACACGGTGAGATGTTTACTGTCAGAGAAGGGTATTCCAAAGACCTTTTGGCTTGAGGCTGTGAATTGGACTTTCTATGTGTTAAACAGGTGCCCCAAATTATCGGTGAAAAATATAACTCAGGAGGAAGCTTGGAGTGGAGTTAAACCATCTGTTGAACACTTTAGGTTTTTTGGAAGTGTTGCACATGTTCATATTCCTGACGCTAGAAGGACAAAGCTTGAAGACAAGAGCTATAGCTGCGTTCTGTTGGGAGTAAGTGAGGAATCGAAAGGGTATAGGCTCTATGATCCAGTTTCAAAGAAGATTGTGATCAGTCGTGATGTTGTATTCGAGGAGGACAAGAAGTGGGAATGGGACAAAAGCTACGAGGAGCAAGTTCTACTGGATCTGGAATGGGGAGATGAATTGGAGCATGATATGTCAAGTGAATCCGAGAGAGAAAATGCAGATGGTTATGAAGAAAATGATGAAATACCGCCAAGTCCTGTGAATATGGAAGGTTCTCCAAAGTTTTCAAGTTCAAGAGAAGGGAGAAATAGGAGAGCTCCGATATGGATGAGGGACTACGAAATTGGTGAAGGTCTCTCTGATGAAGATATTAATGTTAACATGGCTCTATTTGCTAGTGCTGATCCGATATGTTATGAGGAAGCAGTGGAGAATGACAAATGGAGACAGGCTATGGACTCAGAGATGAGATCTATTGAGAAGAATGACACTTGGTTTCTCATTGAATTACCAAAAGGAGCAAAAAGAATTGGGGTCAAATGGGTGTACAAGACGAAACTAAACGAGCTTGGAGAGGTTGAGAAGTACAAAGCTCACTTAGTTTCGAAGGGTTATGCACAAGAATACGGAGTTGACTATGAGGAAGTGTTTGCACCAGTAGCTCGAATGGACACTGTTCGAATGATTCTTGCACTTTCTGCTCAAAGAGGTTGGAGCATCTACCAACTCGATGTCAAGTCAGCTTTTCTTCATGGAGAGCTAACTGAGGATGTTTTTGTTGAACAACCAAAAGGGTATGAAGTGAAAAACGAAGCTCACAAGGTCTATAAGCTCAACAAGATGCTGTATGGACTCAAGCAAGCACTTAGGGCTTGGTTCAGCCAGATTGAATCATATTTCTTGAAAGAAGGTTTTGAAAGATGTGATAGTGAGCAAACACTCTTCATCAAAACCAGTAAGGAAGGTAAATGTTTGATTATAAGTTTGTATGTTGATGATTTGATTTATACTGGAGAAGATGAGGTTATGATGAGTTCAAGAATTCAATGATGAAGGAATTCGACATGTTAGATTTGGGAAAGATGAGATCTTTCTCGGAATTGAAGTGAGCTCGGTGAAGGGATCTTTATAAGTCAGAAGAAGTATGCAATGGAGGTTTTGAAGAGGTTTGGAATGGAAAATAGCAATGCGGTTCAAAATCTGATCATTCCGGGGTTTAAGATCTTTAGAGATGAGAATGGATTGGAGGTTGATGGCACTTTTTATAAGCAAATGGTGGGAAGCATGATGTATTTAACAGCCACGAGGCCAGACATAATGTTTGTAGTTAGTCTTATTAGTAGATTTATGTCACAACCAACAGAACTTCATCTCATGGCACCCACAAGGATTCTTCGTTATCTGCAAGGTACAGTTGGTTTTGGGATTTTTTATAGAAAGGGAGGAAATAGGGAGTTAATTGCTTCCACAGACATTGATTATGTTGGTTCATTAGAGGATAGAAAAAGCACATCCGGTTATGCATTCATCTAGAGCTCTGGAACAATTGCTTGGTCTTCACGAAAACAGCCAGTTGTCACTCTTAGTACAATTGAGGCTGAATTCATAGCTGCTGCTGCTTGCTCATGTCAGGCTGTGTGGATGAAGAGAATCCTGAAGAAACTTGGCTATGAAGGCAGTGAGAGCATTACCATTTTCTGTGACAACGGTTCAGCTATTAAATTATCCAAAAATCCCGTAATGCATGGTAGGAGCAAGCACATTGACGTGCGTTTTCATTTTCTACGAGAATTGGCTACAGAAGGAATTGTGCAGCTGATACATTGCGGAACAAAAGAGCAGGTGGCTGATGTGTTAACAAAACCACTTAAGTTGGAGTTATTTCAGAAGTTGAGAGGTCAGCTGGGAGTTTGTGAAGCACCTGCAAGCTGCAGTAAACTAATTGCTTAGGCAATCTAGTTTAAGGGAGGGAATGTTATGGCTTAGAGTTTGTTAATAAGTGCCCTACTCTTTAGGGTGTTGTTTTACTGTTTCGATTTCTTCTTTGTTCTGTTACCACGTTCTTAGTTGATAACGTGGGTTGCACTTGTTTCTTCTCTTTCATCTTGTAAGGCTATTATATAGCCAAAGTTGTTTCTCAAATAAGTTAAGTCATTCCCAATTTGTTCCGTGTTATTCCCAATTTGTTCTGTGTTCTTGATTCTTTTACAGTGATCACTTAATTTATAACAAAAGAGCCATAAAAAATACACTAAGTATTTGTTTGATGCATAGTATTAAACGTATTATTATTCGATCTTCTTTGCCAAGTATATGTGGCTAAAGAAGTCTCGCTACTTTACTCGTTATGTCGCTTTTTAAATTTAAAAATTTCCTGCATTGTTTTCATAATCATAATATTAATAAATATCATTCATATAAAAAAAAAAAAAAAATCAGCTTCATGATGGCTTCTTATGTAATACCATATATGGGACTACTTGGATATGTGGGCACAAATCCCAACATCAACGGTTGTGTTACAAAGCGAGTAAGTTACCTCGCAAATTTTGTCCCTGTTTGGCCCCATTTCTTAAAACTCATTTTTTTCACTCATTTTCAACGACATTCATGAGAATCACAATTATTAATTTTTAAAATTACTTGTGTAATTAAATAATCGACTCTAATTCTTATTTTCTATCTCAGCTTTTGGCAGGACTATTGGGAGTAGAATCTGGACAGGATGCATACATTAGAGGATATCTTTATGAGCGCTCCAAAGAAGTTGTGCACCCATACAATCACACAGTAGCTGATTTCACAATCCAAGTTTCAAACTTGAGAAACCGGTTGGCAATGTGTGGAATCAAAGACGAAGGCGTCGTTGTACCACCACAACTCGGGGCAGAGAATCGGACAGAAAGCAACTTATTATCTGCCGATTATAACTCCCTCTCCTACGGGAGGACTCCGGCAGAAATTCTCAAAGTTTTGTACAGTACCGGTGATGAGCACATTCCCGGTGGATTCTTTCCGGAGGGAGCCAATGGAAAAATAGCCCGGGAACTTCTCGAAGAGCCATAGTAAAGACACTAATAATATGTTTGATGCATAATATTGAACATCTACTACTACTATTCCCTCAAATAAGTGTGACTAAAGAAGCCTTGCTACTTTATGCATTCACTAATTTGTTCGATTAATTTTTCCAGTATCTCAAACAGAAATATGTGAAACAATTAAATATCTCAAAAGCACGTAAACGCTGATTACACCAAAGCTTCACAAAAGGTCAAATAGTATCAAATTTTAATTGCAGACATTGAATTTCAATCCTAGCACATATATGAAGCTTCACGCATAATCCTAAAATAAACCCAAAAAGGGCACTGAATGGCTTGAGATCAGTAGTTCACCAACCAGATCACTGCTGTCGAACTTCAACTTTCTTTTTCTGCCAGAGCCTATCAAGTGCACTGTCTGCATCTCCCTGCAAAATAAATTTTTCCAACTCCAAATTGGTAATATGCTAAAATCACAGGCATAACAACATAAAAGAGATCGTGTAATTTTTTGGCATTAGGAGAAAATAAAAACAAAAATCCATTAACCATTTGATTTTTGGGTTCTCAAACTGACAAATATTGTACTAATTGACATAGCTTTCTTTTTCTCGTCTACTAGAAAAATGTAAAGACGGAAGAAGAAAATCTAGGGGTGTCAATGCTCAACAGCTTCGTTGAACTTTTTGGTCTTTTCGCACTTTTCTAATAACAGGAGAAAAAAACTGAAAGTGCCCCCTCACTGACCGCAAGCATAAACACTTAACCCCACCTTACACCCAAAGGCCAAACCCAGAATACTAGGCGTGCTAGCACACTGTGTAAGGCATGACAGGCTTTGCCCATTTAATACCCCTAACAACATCTTTTTAGTACCAAAATGAAGGATTTAATCTAGAGGGGATGAACTAAATCAGTTTAGTGTTATTTATGAGTTAATTAATACTATTTATCCAAATTATCATATTATCAAACAAAGAAATAGTTGGCTAAAAAAGAGAGAGTACAGGAGAATACAACACATTTACAGTGGTTTTAGTATTTGCACTCAACAGAAAATTAGCAATAGCAAATTTCCTCCTTTTTTTCGTTCGTTGGTATACCAAGTTACATCAACAACAATAATTGCAACCTTATCTTTCATGAAACAATCAAATTCCCAAGACATTCAAACAATTACAGGTGAACATTACAGATAACAAGAATTTCTTGCTTTATAATGAAAATATATATGATAAATCATATCATAATAAAAACAAAGAAATGAGAAGAAAAAACACATGAGAGCCTGCAGCCTACAAAAGCTGTTATATATAACATGGCCAATGGGTGGTTTGAACTTCAAATTGAAACTTTTCTGAACACTACAGAAATTGTTCAATGTATAGACTAAGATTACAAAATGACCAAATCAAGAAAAGTGAGTGAAGTAAAATATATTTAAGAAAAATACAAGAGTTGTTCTACAAAATTCAAATTTGTCTTTTGAGTAGACATTATATTGGAGCTTACATTGTAAAGTAAGAAATCCTTGCAATATATGATATTCACCAGTTGCGTTAATATCCTGATATTTATTCTTTTCTTAAATAAAGTTGTTGGCGTCTTGTTACATAGCTAGTTTCCTATTGTGGTAGGAATTCCAACCAACTCAAATTAAAGGGAATTGCTCAAACAGGGGTGTTACTGATGAGTGAAAGTACGATCAATAAAACATCTTGGAGTGGATGTAGACTCAGTTTGAATCACACTATTATAAATCTGGTGTTGTTTCTCACTTTTGGTACTTTTGAGGATATTCTTTATTTATTTGGTTGATACATTGCTTGTGCATATTATTATACATTCAAGTCATGGTTTTTGGAAAGAAAATATCTTTCTCAGTTATCTGGGAGTCCTCTTTTTATATACTTATATATAAAAATTGCATTTTGTACAAAATACAATAAAACTAAAAAGAGTTATACAATCAAATAAGTAACACTTCTCATCAAAAATATAACAGAAATTTAAAGCATGGCAATTCCAAAGTGGCAAGAAATGGGCAGAGTATTACCTGGGCACGAACAAATCCACAGAGAGCAAAGGTGGAGAACTGGCCAGTGTATCGACCAGTTTCATCTAAATGCCCGACATTGATCTGGACAGATGCATGATCCTTAGAAGTGATCAACCTGTTTGTGGCAGAGCTGCACGACAACAGTAATTAAATCAGCTAAATATCTTGTTCTAACAAGTCAATGACTCGCATCTTCAGAACTCGTGTAGGCTGGGAACATCGAGTTGTAAAGTACCAAAAGTATCTATATAAGAAATATGCCTACCACTTTCTGGGGATGTAGAGATCCATATTTTGTCCTTCCTCGTTCTGCATCTTGGCTAATTGTCCTAGCACTCAAGGAATTCACAAAATTGAAAGCACCTGAATCCACAGAAAACCAAATAAAATGTGCAAACAGAAAAGCAATGAGCCAATTGTGCCCATCAGTAATCTACCCACTAAAACTGAAAAAAAATTAAGCATTTTCTTTGGTTTACAATTTTGAACTTAAAACTGTTAGATCAGTGAACCAGTCTGATAAATAATTAAACTATCGAATCAAACAACCAACTACAAATAAAAATATAACGAATACACAATGTACTTTATGGTAGAACTTTTTGCATTTAACTCGAATTTTTAAATATAAAAACCCTTAGCCATATGTAATTAACAAAATAAACTTAGTATAAAAAATCCTGAACAAATCTTCATCAAAACAGACATCTCCTAAACAGAACTTGTACTCAAATAATGTACGTAAAAATCGTTAGTTTAAAAATTCTGTATTAAATCTACAGTGAGAAATTACAGCTATAAAAAAAATAGAGAACAAAGATAATCGTAGCTGTGTATAGCTACTTAGATTTGCAAGCGGATGATGAAGCTAAAGAAGAAACGAGAGAGTACCAGAAAATGCAGGCGAGGATATGAGAGAGCAGCCGGTGAGGAGAAGAAATCATCTTTTTAGAATTTATATATTGCAGAAAAACCCTAGGAAATATTGCACATTGACCTCCAATCTTTTATGAATATTGCATAGTAGCTAATAACTTTCAACTATGAACTTTTAAATCCCTAAACTTTAAAATTCAAGAGTAGCACAATCTGGTAAGTGTCCTTCCTCTCGTGCTTTAAGTGCCTCAAATATGCCTAAGATAGTAGCCATCTTCTTTACCTTAAGATACTGCTAATGAATTCGGAAGGAAAGCTGTTGAACTGAGAAGTTATATAGACCCCACCAAAGTTAGAATAGGCTATTGTCGATTTTTCCCTCCAATTATCTCAATTTACTGTAAGAATTAATCTTTCAGTTTTTAATTTCAGACAATGATTCAACGCTACACGCAAAGCTATAGATAGATCTTGAAGAGTTTGTTTCGTGTTGTGGAGCCTAATTATTACTGTTGACATCCGTTGTGAGGTCGACATGGAATTGGAAGGGGATGGAGCCGTCATTAAGAATAGTTTAGGAATTTAACACTTGCAATTTTGTTTACCCTAATTTGTTTTATAAATAGTAAGTCGTTATTAGGGTTTTAAATAACCATCAAAAAGAGGGAGCTTAAAGTGGAATGCTTTGGGTAGAGGAAGCGATGAAGAATAGTTGAACCCGCTTAAACTAGGAGACAACATTGCCTGCCAATAAATAGTTCCATAAATTGTATATGATCGTTCCATTTCTATGTTATGAAGAAGAAAATGACATTTTCCATCAACTTATTTGGGTCCATTCAACAATTTGAGGATCTAGGATTGTGCATCAACCTGAGGAAGCAAGGAACTATAGGTTTATCAAGTGTGTTCTATCTGCAACTAGAATATGGATTGTCTGGTAGTGATATTGACTCGAGTAAATGCAGTTAAAATAAGATCTAAGCATATGATACACTTTAAAGTGACTATTTTTCTTGGCAGAATGAGTTAGCTGCTATCCCATGCAAATGGATAATGCTGAACAGCCTCGAGGTTAGTTTCAATTAACAGCTTTTACCTTGTTGATTTTTCTGGTCTATTTCAAATTAACCATCATTTCTTGTGATCTTAAATGAGGCAGAAATCAATGGCCATGCTATCTCACAGCTTCATCCAAGTAACTGGGTGGATGCCGATGAGGAAGATGACGAAAGGGATGAGACTGACTTATGCTTGCACTCAGCGCCTCCATACTATTTTGGATGTTTGCTTTATTCATTCAGAGTGATGGATGTTAAGTGCAAGTATCATTCAATGACATGCCTTAAAAGTTTCAGTTCTACCAGCTCAAGTTCGTGGATTAAAATGCAATGGGTTAAAATTACTTTGCTAGAAGTAGTGTCAAAATTCTAGGTGGCGGTAGGTGATTTGATGGAAAATATGACTGTGTTTTAAACAATTCAATGATAGAGTGTCAATTTGCATTATATCAATAATTATCTCAATTATTCTGACACAGTAGCATGGTTCAAATGCAAATGTCTTCATCACTGGCGCACATACTAATGTGGGAGTACCATACAACGTACGCACCTATTCTATCAGTGCAAAAAATAAGATAACATAAAAAATTGACATTTCTCCTCTCTCTTGTTTCCTGCACAAGTAGAAATATGTACCTAGTCTTGTTCAAGAAAGAAGAGATATGTACATGGGGATGTCAAACTGATTTGGTGCCAAACTCATGTTTCATTTTTCCACTCTTTTGGTAGACATTATTCTTCTATTAAAAATGCATAACAACTGCACGGACTTAGACTATTCTCATCCAGTGTGTTTAGTGCAATTAGTACCACGACTAAAATTATAAGTGAAATATTTCCTTTTTAAATTAAAAACTTATGTCAGTATAACCAAAAAAAATTAATTAGTAGCAAAAAACAATTTTATACAAGTGACAAAATTCACTTATAAGTAAATAAATTATTTCATAGCTAAAAAAATTAATAATAAGGGAAAAAAAAATCACATATTAGATAGGAGTTCATTTATACGTAAAAAAATTG